ACCTGAAAAGTGGCCCAAAGAAGACACCTTTTAGGCTTTTCACCCAGTTCTCAACAACCTCCCTTCTCTGGAAAATGCCGCTTACCAAGCTAGGCATTCCAGGTATATTTATACTCTGCAACCCACCCTCCTGGCTATGATCTATGCGGGGCCAGAGTTGGAAATTTGGAATTGGGGTTAAGAGTGTCTGGTTTCAATCTGGGCTGGTCCCTTGAGCAGGGAAAGCCCAGGGTCTTTGCAAACAGCCATTTTCTGCCAAGTGGACAGAGGAAGAGAGTAGGCCAGTGCGTGGAAAAAGGAAGCAGGAAGCAGCTGCTGTGAGAGGGAGAGACTTTCTGGATTCCCTCACCTAGACCCTCCTTGCTCCCTTTCTCCAACACTCTCCCTCCTGGCCTAGACTCCTGTCCACTGTAAATGAATTCCTGGACACCCTCAGACTCCACAGAGCTCTGCTTCTACCGGACTGGTCCTCCTTGACTTGACTGAAAGCTGGCCTGGGAGAGCACTGATTGCAGTGCTGCATCGCTTATCTCCCCAGGTCACGAGGGCATAGACCCAGTTTCCCCAGCCCTCGGGTGCGCTCAACACATGTTTATTGAGTGAGTAATGATATCACCCCCCTGAAGGCCTCTCAGGGGAGGCTGCTCATTCACTGGCTTCCCAGACACCATGAAGACCGGTGGACATTCTCCCTGCTCCCTACTGCTGCTTCTAGACACCATTCCTCCGCCCTTATTAAAAAAAAAAAAAAAAAAAAGCCAACACAGCTATTCTTCTCTCAAGTTTATGACATCACAGTCATCCACCCAGCTCAACTGCATTCCTCAGACAAGTTCTCCCCGCCCCCTAACATGGACCCTCATCAGCCCATGGTCTGATTCCAGCCATTGGTAATTGCTCCTCAGGGTTACACCAAATCCATTTTGGGGTAACATCTGGGAATGGCCTGATGAGAACTGATATGTCTGGTTCGGGGTAGCTACATGGTTGAGACTACATATGCTAAAGAAAGAGGCGAGTTCAGTCAATTCTGGTCAGTTTGGCTCATGTAAGCAGCTAGAGAAGCTGGCTTTGGGACAAGGCTCACCTCCCTTAACAGTAAGTGCTTTGACCCAAGTGCCTTAGTTCCTCACTAACACTGAACTGAGTGGACATTATAGCTTTTGGCACTTCTCTAAGACAATTTATTTAGCACCCTGAATAATACCCCAGATTCTTTACATTCCATCAGCACCAAGACAAAACAACACCATTCATTTATTCCCCATTGTACAGAGCCCGCATAAGGAAGATGCCGCAGGAATGACAATAGCTATTGGTGGGGTGATGCAGTCTCCCTTTACAAGGCCCTCAGGACCTGTGTGTGGTTCAATTATCTCTGAACAATTAAATCCTAATGGGGAGAAGTACTGCAAAGAAAACTGCAATTATACACATGTGTAGCTGCCTGCACCACACTTCAAACACCTTTTATTTCTTGGTCTCTGTGTAACATGAGAGCTGTGCATGTGGAAACCAATTAGGACCAGAGAGCTTCTTCCCACATAATCAGACAGCACGTCACTAGTGGGATTCCCTGTCTGACACAGAAGCTGTGGTGGTAAAAGCCATCTGCCCAACCTGGCAAGCAAGGTATAATTTCACATGCTGTCCCAGGGCCCTAGCACAACTTCAAAAAAGCGGAGTTGAAATTATTTGGCACTCGAAAATCAGATTCTTTTGTGTCCAACGGCTGCCCACTGCTTCCTAAGCAAGGAGAATTATGCAGATGGGTAAAAGAAGACATAGGACGCCCTGACTGGTAAAAGTGACAATTTACATAGGGCCCAGCAATACCTTTGACCAAATCCAGACATCTCCAAGGAATCGCCAGTGATAGGTGGGCACACATGTCTGCAGAGTCACTCCCGTCGGCACGTTGGGTACATAGAACATAGTAATGACCCATTCTAAGAATCTGCCCAGGAAGGTCTGGCCATTAGGTGCTCATACCAGAGTAACACGTACCACTACACATACACACACACGCACACACACACCTTGTTCTTGCCTCCCCTCTACCTGAAGCAGCTCCTACATGTAGTGCTATTGTACAAAGAAGTCTGGATGGTCACAGGTAGGTGGGATGGCAGTCATGTTTCATATCCTCTTGCTCATTGGTCTTGGTTGTTGCCTAAACTGTCAAACTCCAAACTTATAATCAAATGATAAAATTATCTGAAGCAATCATGTACATCTTAACTTTCCATTCCAATATATCATATTAATTATGTGACACTGTATAGCTCTAAAGCATGTGACTGGCCCACAGAATCTTTAAGGTTCCAACTGTCCACCTAGGAAACACCAACCAAAAGAGATATAATATTCTGCATTAGATTCCTTTTCCAATTCGGGTCCTCACCAAGACATTCAACCAAGCATGTGAGCACACCTAAATTCATTGTTCATGGCCATGCTGCAAACTGACTTCAGATGAAAAATTGCTGAGCCTTTCCTCACTGACCCTCTCCCAGACTGTCCCCCCACTTCCAAGTCACATTTCTTAGAGCTTCCATGTCCACTGTCCTGCAAGTTGCCTCACTCCATTCTTCCACACTCTGCCAAGGGGAGAACCTGGCCCCCTCCCCTGACAAAATGTAGCAATTTTCACTAAATTACAATGTCCCTGATACCAACCAAACTAGGTATTTCAGACCTAAATTGTTTCTAGGAAGCTTGAGGTAAATTTATCAGGCAGTTGCTAAAGTCTATGCTTCACTTAGAGGCAGCAACACACGGGCTGATTGACCCATTCCAGAAAGACAGTCTGGTCATTCAAACACCTGACAGTCAAGGGCTCAATTCAGGCAAGTTTGGATTGGTGAAATGACATAGTTGATGGGAGAAAGGAGAAACCTACAGGAGCAGCAAGATTCTCCTCCTCATAAAGGAGAGAGGGGGGCAAGAGAGAGGCTTACGGTAGGTGTTTGAAAAGTTTAGAGTTCGGTTTTAAAGTCCTATGTCTTATTCAAGACTATTTGATGAATTAGTTTTGATATAAACTAATATCTTCCTAGCTTTAGATTAACATAATATGCACAATATTAATTTTATCATTGCTTATGATTTATACTTGTTTATAATTATTATATTGTTTATAATTATGTTTATTATGATATAATTAAAACAAGGATTCTGAAGAGTGTTATACTATGGAAAATACTTAAGAAGTAATGATAAGTCAAATGACAAAATGTGAAATTATAACCACATAATATAATTTCACATTTTAAAATAAAACTTATGCAAAGAAAAATATAGTCTGGCAGACAGTTCACCAAAATACAAATGGTAGATGTGTTTAGGTAAGGGGATTATAGACCTTTATTCTCTTTTTTCTATATACCTTTGTTTTCCAAATCTAATGAACATGTACAATTTTTAATGAACATATTTTATAATAGATACTTATTTTAAAATATAAGAAAACTGTCTCAGAGGCCACACTATAAAAATCAAAAGGAATCAGAAAAAAATAGGTAAGAAAATCACTATATGAAACTAACCTGTGACTTAGAAGCTACTAGGGCAACTGCCCTCTAGAAAAAAAAAAAAATCATGAGACTTAATGCTGTGGACATGACCCCACATTTTTCCTTTCTCTCTTTTGCTTTACCACAGGGAAACAAAGGATCAAGCAACACTTTTCTTTTGAGAACTAGAAGCAGGCAATTGAAAGCCTGCCTTCACCTGGTACATTTTTAATTTTTACTCCTCTGCTACCCACAAGGGTTTTAGCACACTTCCTGCTCTAAAATTCTCAGGAACTAAAGTCAGACCCCAGGCACCATACACATCCTGAAAGAACTGCAATTCCAGAGGAGGTTTTCAATCTCTAAGAAGACTGTATTTCTGTATACTATCATCTCTCTGAACAAATTTCAACTTTGTCTGATTCATTATTGCAAACCCAATTCCTAGCACAGTACATGGTACCAAAGGATGCTTCAAGCATATTTTCTGAATGTTTTTAAAATATTTTTTGAATTTAAATTCAATTAGCCAACATATAGTATATCATTAATTTCAGATGTAGAGTTCAATGATTCATCAGTTGCATATAACACTCAGCACTCATCACATCAGGTGCCCTCCTTAATGCCCATTACCCAATTACCCCATCCGCCCACCCACCTCCCCTCCAGCAACCCTCAGTTTGTTTCACAGAGTCAAGAGTCTCTCATGGTTTGTGTCCCTCTCTGATTTCTTCCCATTCAGTTTTCCCTCCCTCTTGCTATGATCCTCTGCACTATTTCTTATATTCCACATATGAGTGAAACCATATGATAATTGTCTTTCTCTGATTGACTTATTTCACTTAGGATAATACCCTCCAGTTCTATCCATGTTGATATAAACAGTAGGTATTCATCCTTTCTGATGGCTGAGTAATACTCCATTGTGTGTGTGTGTGTGTGTGTGTGTGTGTGTATAATATATCACATCTTCTTTATCCATTCATCTGTTGAAGGACATCTCAGCTCCTTCCACAGTTTGGCTGTTGTGGACATTGCTGCTATAAACACTAGGGTGCAGGTGCCCCTTCATTTCACTACATCTGTATCTTCGGGGTAAATACTTTCTTAGAATCAGGATTAGCCTTAGTAGAAACTGAAGCGAGTTCAAGTTAGTGAAAATTATATTTTATCATATTTAGGTATTGGGTTTTTAATTTGTTATGACTATATGTTATTTGGACAAATAACTCTACTGTTTTAATGAGTTTTAAAATTGGCCAAATTAACATGTGGTGTCACTTTTAATAGTTATTTACACATAAGAGAAAGAAGCTGAAGCCAGACACCACCAACCACCTAGTGCAGCTTATGTGGATCACTGACAGACTACAAAGGAAGAAATCAACAGCCTCTGGAACATTACTCTTGCAAACCTGAACCTATGGAATGATGGTGACTGCTCCATGAGGAGTTGATCCTAACCATTCCTGGGAAGTGTACCTGAGGGCCAGCCATTTGGTAACAGCGCTGGGAAGAAAACAGGAGCAACCACGTTGAAACCTCATAGCCGGTGACTGGACCAGGATAACTGGTACTGGCAAGAGTCTCCAATGATGCTGTGTCTGATGCACTTTGACAGGAGCCACCTGAAAGTCCAATTCAATCAAAGTTGGTTTTGTGCTACATTTCCTATAATTCGTTTACAACATGTCACTCATTCTTGTGCTACACAGGCAGGAAGAGTCAAAGATTTAACTGGCTCTTTCCTATCCTGCCAGTTCTTCAGCTCTTGGTCATATTCTTTGTGAAGGGCTCTGCAGATTCTTCAGAAGGAATATGAAATAATAAAATAGTAATAATAATAACAGTGCTTTAAATAAGTGAAATTCTGGCAGGTTTCAAGGGCTCTCCTATTCAATATTAGACCCTCTTATTAATCTTCATAGAGTCAGAATTAAGAAATGAAACAGAAAAACTTTTAAGGAAATGGAATTTTAGAGTTTAACAAAAAGAGCCACACAATAATATCTTTCAACTGTGGGAATGGCTTTCACATAGCAAGAAGCTACTTTTCACTTAACAAAGAACAAGGAGAGCCCAGCTTTAGTTGAAACTTGAGGAATTTAACTTACATAATATGTTATCTTTTGTTCTCTGGTATTCTTTCCCAGGGCTTTTTTTAAAGCAGGATAGATTCTCATCTTGCCGAGATGCTTTTAAACAATTTAACCTGAATGCAGAAGATGGAACAGATGGTCTTTTAAAAACTCTCCATATTCAAGATGCTGGACATTCAAGGGCCTCAAAACATCTGATGCATTTTCATACAGTGATGACCTGATAGCTTTCTCATCCATTTAAACCTACGGTTGATTTCCTCTCCTAGTTATTGGGTACTGTCTACTTTTCCTCCAACTGTTCTCACCTGTCCTCTGACCTCTTCATCCTATTCAAGTCCCTGTGAATTCACATTCTATTCTCTACCATATAGAGGGGCCTTTCCTCTTAAACCATACAGGCCTCTAAAAAAAGGAGGATTATTAACCACAGGGTCTTGTTCAAATTCCATCATTTATTCCCATCATTTATTCAGAAATACTATTTAATATCCCTCTCAAAATAAAACCTGTTGCAGAGAAGGCTGCCTCAGAGGGGCCTGCCTTTTCTAGCACAGAGGAGATGATGTTTCAGAGATGTATGACTAATACTCCTGGGGCAGGAGCTGAGTACATTGGGATCCTTTGGGAGTAAAGGTACCTCCGAAGGATCAAATTGATTTTTATTTTATGAATGCAGTAGACAGTCCCATTAGACAGATTTTTTCCCTCCAGCATTTTGCAGCATCTTCTGAGATTCAGAATCAAGCCAAGAGCTGCTTGGTAATACTGTGTGGATGACGCATTACACAGAGCTGACTCTGTGACATCATGTTGTCTTGTTCTCAGTTAGAGCAACCTGATGTGCCTGCCCTGCACACCCCAGTTCTGTGAGTCACTGCATGATATATTGTCCAGGAAATGCAAAATGATGTTCTTCTTAAAAACTCATGATTAAAAAAATTGAGGCTTCTGGCTAGGGAATGTAGAGTGAAAAAAGTAAACTCTTAGGAGGGGCAAGTTCTCATTTCTGTTTTTCTTTTCATTATTGTTTAAGATCCTACAAGGGATTGTAGTTTATAAATAAGCATGGCAAGTGGTTATTTTCTTCGGTATTTTATTGCCACAAAAATGAACTTTATTTTTCACCAGCCTGAACTTCCCATTATGAGCAGCTGTGCCACTCCATATCCTAAGAAGCTTTTACCATCAAAAATGACTGAATATCTATATGTGTATTATGGATGTTGATACAATTGCCTAAATAAGCACCACTCATTCCTGAAGAATTCTGCAATACAAAACAATCCAGATACATACAAACTTATAGTGAATTTTCACAATGATAGAATAAAAATCAAGGATAATCTACTAAAGAGAAAATTAAAATTTAGCCTTATCCAAATACTTCCAATCTGAACCAAAAAATCATGTGCTTGATGCCAAACAGTAAGAATTCAAAGTTTAAAAATCTTTTCTTTTTCTGTCTCCACCTTCCAAATTTAAGTAAATAAAAGAACCGGTGAACCACAGATCTATTGAACAAAAAATGCAGAGAAAAAGAGAAACAGCAGACATTAATCAAGCTGAGATGTTAACAAGGACAGAATCTCTTTCTGGCAAGGCTGACCTTTCCAACCCAGTACATAGTACTTGTCATTCCTAGAGCTTAAGACACTAGGACAGCCAGACAGATAGCAAGAGCCCAGACCCCCAGGGTTCAAAAGCAATCAGGCAGACAGCACACATTAAATACCCTCCCTTGCCTCAAAACCACCATCCTTTTCCTATTAGCAATGCACTATTGGGGCGCCTGGGCATCTGACTCTTGGTTTCAGCTCAGGTCATGATTTCAGGGTTGTTACGTTGAGCCCTGGGTGGAGCCTGCTTGAGATTCTCTCTCTCCCTCTCCCTCCCCACCACTTGCTCATGCTCTTCTCAAAAAAAACAAAAAAAAAAAGTAAGAAAAGAAAAGCACTGTTAATGAGAGGGCAGCATCATTTGGGACTTTGGATGCTACAGGTTTGATTTGGATCAATGTCTGGTTAAATCCCAAGGAAGTATGCCCCATGAAGGTATGGGTTCCATGGAGGAAGGATCACTCTGGGTAGTTACTTAACAGGAAAAGAAACCCCTGGAACCACTATTGGATTTGGAAGTCAGCCAACCAGGCAGAACCTGAAGGACCCTCTGGACCCAGACACTCTACTACATCCCCGGAGGAATTTTAGTTCTCTCTGTGCCACAGCCCATTTACCTAACAGCAAGGAGCAATGAGGGTCACTCAAGTCCTCTTCACTGGCCCTGCAGTTGAAAATTCAGGCAGGCTTCCAGAGATACTTCATGTTACAGTACATACATGCCTAGCAATGCATTCCCTTTGGCTTCACGGCTGGAGAACAGCTGGAGGTAGCAGGTGAGAAACAGAACAACTTTGCCTTTTCCCCCCAATATTACTCTGGGCCAGCTGTGGGAAACTTTACTAGGGGTCCCAGATGGGTTCAAAGTCAATGTCCTGGAAGAAATAGTAATAATTACAGCTATTTTTAAAAGGTGTCAAAATTTCACAGTTATAATGATGTTCATCTAAGAACCAAGAAATAATGGCAATAGCATGGCTTAAAATTAATGTAAAAGATACCCAAAGGCATCTAAGGCAGATGGCTCCCAGGCTTGCAGTTTTATCATAACTTCATTGAAAGCAACTGCTATTTTTAAAAAGACCCAGTCAATCAGAAGAAAGATCCAGTCACTATGGAAGTTCTAATTGTTGCTAGCTATTGATACTACAAAAAAACAACTTAATGGTTGCATAGGTAGAAACTGTCAAACTGTTTTCCAGAAAGGTTGTGGTTTTTTACATTCTCAACAGCAATGTATCAGTGATCCAGTTTCTCTGTATCCTTGTCAGTGTTTGGTATTATCATATATTTTTTTAATCATTCTGATAGGTGTATAGAAATATCTCATTGTAGTTCTATTTTGCATTTCCCTAGTGGATAATGATATTGTACATCTTTTCGTGTGTTCATTTGCCCTATGTACATCCACTTCGGTGGAATGTCTCTTCATGTCTTTTGACTATTTAATAATTGGATTATTTGTTCTTTTACTGTTGAAGTTTGAGAGTTCTTTATGGTCTTAGATACTAGTTCGTTGTCAGATATGTGGTTTGCAAATATGTCCTCCTAGTCTGTAGCTTTTCTTTTACACTCTTAATGAGGTTTTTCAAAGAGCAAAAGTTTTAAACTTTGGCCAAGTCCAATTTATCAAGTTTCCTTTTATGGATGTTCTTTTGGTGTATAACCTAAGAACTCTTTGCCTAGGCCCAGATCTCAAACTGAATTTTCTCATTTATTTTTTCTAAAAGTTCTGTAATTCTGCATTTTATATTTAAGTCCAAGATCTATTTTGAGTTAAATTTTGTAGGGGCACCTGGGTGGCTCAGTTGGTTAAGCGACTGCCTTTAGCTCAGGTCATGATCCCAGAGTCCAGGGATCGGGCCCCATATCAAGCCCCACCTCGAGCCCCACATCAGGCTCCCTGCTTGGTGGGGAGTCTGCTACTCCCTCTGACCCTCCCCCTTCTCATGTGCTCTCTCTCTCTCTCTCTCTCTCTCATTCTCACTGTCTCAAATAAATAAAATCTTTTTAAAAAATTTTAAAAATTTTGTATAAGACATGAGGTTTAGGCAAGATTCCTTTTCTTCGGCATGTCCAACTTCTCCAGGACCATTTGTTAAAAAAGTTATCCTTCCTGTATTTAATCCCTTCTGTACTTTGGTCAAAATTAGTTGGGCAAATCTGTGTAGGTCTATTTCTGAGTTCTCTATTTCATTTCATTGATCTATGTGTCTAACTCTCTATGAATACCAAACAATCTTGATTAGTGTTGCTTTATAATTAGTTTTGAAATTGGATAGATTCCTCCCACTTTATTCCTCTGTTTAAAAATTGTTTAATAATTCCAGTTCCTTTGCCTTTCCATATAGATTTTAAAATAATCTTGTCTACATCTATAAAAATCTTGCTCAGATTTTGATAGGAATTGCATTAAACATGCACATTCTATTTGGAGAGAATTGACATCCTTGCTATGCTGAGTCTTCCAAACCATGAATATATGTCTATTTATTTAGATCTTTGATTATTTTAGCAGTATTTTGTAGTTTGTATAATACAAGTTTTATTTATGTTTTGTTAGATTTATACCCATATCTCTTTTATTTGTGTCATATAAATGTCAATGGTACTGCACTTTTAATCTCAGTGTCCACATGTTCATTACTAGTATATAGGAAATTCATTTTTGTGCTGGATTCACTTAATTATTATAGGGGTTGAGTTTTGTCTTCTGGAGGGGTACTTTTTGGTAGATTTTTCAGGATTTTCTACACAGACAATTATGTCATCTACATCTAGAGATATATTTCTTCATTTCTAATATGTATGCCTTTTATTTCCTTTTCTTGCTTTTTGCACTGGCAAGAATTTACAGCACTATGCTAAAGAAGAGTGGTGAGAGCTGATACTTTTGCCTTCTTCCCACTTTTAGGGGGAAAACATACAGTCTTTCACTATTAAGTTTGATGTTGGTTTCAGGATTTTGTAGATTCATTTTATCAAGCTGAGGAAATTCCCCACTAGTCCTGTTTTTCTGAGAACGCTCTTTAAATAAGAAATGTTGATTTTTTAAAAATTTGCATCTATTGATATGATCATGTGATTTTTCTTCATTAGCTTGTTTATATGGTGGATTACACTGTACAATTTTCAAATGTTAAACTAGCCTTGCATAACTGGAATAAACCCACTGGCCATGGTGTATAATTTTTTTTATAGAATACCAAATTCTACTTACCAACATTTTATTAAGACCTTTGTGTCTATATTCATTGTGGAACTAGATCTATAGTTTTCTTTTCATTTTTTGTACTATCTTTGGCTTTAGTATCGAGGTATACTGGCTTCACAAAATAAATTGGAAGGGTTCCCTTCTCTTCTATTTTGAAGAGATTTGTAGAACTGGCATTAATACTTCTTTAAACATTTGTTAGTATTCTCTGGTGGAAACTTCTGGCTCTGGAGATTTATTTTAGGAGGTTATAACTTATGAATTCAAATTCTTGAATAGTTATAAGGATCTTCAAATTGTCTATTTCATATTGGGTGAGTTGTGGTAGCCTGTGTTTTTCAAGGAATTGGTCTATTCCATCTAAATTGTCAAGTGTATGTATGTGGATTTGCTATTAATATTCCCATATTATCCTTTTAATATTTACAGGACCTTTAATAATATTCCTTGTTTCATTCCTGCTCTTGGTAATTTGCATCTTCTCTGTTTTTTTTCTTTGTTAATCTTGCTGGACGTTTGTCAATTTTATTGATCTTCTCAATGAATCAACTTTTTGTTCCATTAGTTTTCTCTACTTTTGTTTTTAATTTCATTGATGTGTTTTTATCTTTATTATTCCCTCTCTATGCTTTCTTTGAACGTATTTTGCTCTTCTTTTTCTAAATTCTTGAGGTGAGAACTTGTTGATTTGAGACTTTTCCTCTTTTCTAATGAAAGCACTAAGTGCTATAAATTTCCCTTAAGTACTGCTTTAGCTATGACCCCACAAATTTTAATATGTTCTATATTCATTTTCATCAGTTCAATTACTTTTTACTTCATTATAATCTTTGACCCATGGATTACTTAGAATTGTACTGCTTAATTTCCACATGCTTAGAAATTTTCCTGTTATTCCTCTGCTAGTGATTTCCAAATAATCCCATCGTGGCCAGAGAGCACATAATGATGACTTCTATTCTCTTAAATTTGTTGAGGTTTGTTTTATGGCCTAAAATATGTTCTATTTTGGCATATGTTCCATAAACACTTAGAAAGAATGTATACACTGCTGTGGCTGGCCAAAGCTTTCTATAAATGTCAATTAAATTTTGTTGGCTGATGATGTTGTTGAATTCTATATTCTAGCTAATTTTCTGTTTAGTTGTTCCATCAATGTTGCTAGAGGAATACTGAAATCTCCAACCATAATTGTGGATTTTTCAATTTCTCCTTATAGTTCTATCAGTTTTTGCTTCACATATTTTGCAGCTCTACTGTCAAGTACATACCCCCTTTAGGATTACTATCTCTTTTTAGTAGACTGATCCTCTGTAATTATATAACGTCCCTTTCTTATTCTAATTTTCTTTGCTTTGCAATCTACTTTATATGATATTATAAAGCCACTCCTGATTTATTTTGGTTAATGTCTGCATTTTTCATCTTTTTCCATCTTTTTACTTTCAATCTTTCTATATTGTTATATTTGAAGTGAGTTTCTTATAGACATCATATAGTTGGGCCATATTTTTTAATATACTGTCAATCTCTGTCTTATAGTTGGTATATTTAAACCTTTGACATTTAATGTAATTATTGATATGTTATGGCTTAAGGATGCCATTGTATCTTTTGTTTCTCTTTGTTCTTCCAGTTTTCCATTTGTTTTCTTTGGCTTGTCTTAAACATTTTTTACTGTTACTTAAACATTTTTTAAAAATCCATTAGACTTATCTATGTTACTTTTTAAGGTACCTCTTTGTAGAGTATTTTAGTGGTTGCTCAAGGTACTACATTATATATAGATAACTTACACCTCTACTGATACCATGGGGGCAGGGAGGTGGTCTCATTACCACTGAGGAGTGATGAAAGTCCTAACTCTCTACTAGGTCTCCTCCAACAGCACTCTAGCAGAGGGGTTTCCTTATTACAATATGGAGAAGGTGGGAGTCTTTTCCAATGTGGGTTAAGGTAGGGCCATGGTTTTCCTGTGGTATTTGACTAGAGTAGAGCAATTATTATCTTAAAGTTTTCTGTCTTGAGATTGGGCTGGAGTGGGGGAGGTGTAAAAAAAAAAGTCTTCTGTCTTAAAAAATAAAAATAAAAATAAATAAACAAATAATAGTTTTCTGTCTTCCTAAGCTGCCTCTTTTTTAGTCCTTTGGCTACAGAGAGCAGGCTCGTGTTGGCACTTTCTTTGCACTTGGTGCTTTCAGATTACTGGCTTATCAAGCCCCAAGTCTCAGATTTATGAGACAAAAAGAAAACACAGGGAATTTACCATTATGTTGTTCCTTGAGTCTTAAGGTTCCTCGGTCTTCTGCCTTCTTCTTTCCACCTTTCATAATCTTCTTATGTGTGTTTTATATATACTGTCCAGGGTTTGGGTTATACTTATCCAAAGAAATAGGAAAAAGTATTCTATTCCATCTTCCCAGTAGTGTAAGTGCTTCTTCCTTAGCTATTTAATAAAGAAAAAACAAATGAAGAAAGCACCAGCTAGCCATTACATTGTCATATAAACATATTCATTATCAGATAAATATATTTATTGTAAGATAAATGTTATCATAAAATTTAAATTGAACTGGTATTTATTCTGATTATTATTACCAGAAAGCTGGGTTTTTCTTTAAGGCAAAGAGAACTTTTCTTGTAATGTGAAATGTGAACTGATTCATTTTATAATTCAAAAGATTGTTCAATCATCAACTTGATATTATGAATGTTCTTTTTCTTAAGATTTATTTATTTTAGAGAGAGAGTGAGAGTGGGTGGGGGGGGAGCAGAGGGAGAGAAAGAGAATCTTCAAGCTGATTCCCTGCTGAGCGTGGGGCCTGACACAGGGCCCAATCCCACAACCTTGAGATCATAACCTGAGCCAAAATCAAGAGTCAGACACTAAACTGACTGAGCCACCCAGGTGCCCAGTTACTATAAATGTTCTCATATAAAATTACATTTGTATCAGCTTGTTAATAAATGCTGTGATTTGTGGCAGGTTATAGATAGAGCAGTTTTCAGATTAAATTCTGCCACAAATACTAGCATCTATTACCAGATAGTAAGAAAGTAATCTGTTTTCTTAGCTAGATGATGTCCCAGTCTCTGTCTTCTTAAATGCTCTAACCATACCTTGTATAACTTTTTTTCAAGAAAAACATGAATTCTAGAGGCAAAATTCAGTTAATCTCTCAATCAGCCTCAAGTGACCAGAATCTTCTAAATTGTAGGAACACAAGACTTTATTGTATTTAAGTCTCGGGCACCAACTCCATATGTGAGGGAAGGCAGGCTTCCTAGTTTCTTATACCCTTTCATGCAAGAGTGGGAGAGTGTCTCTAAAATATATCAATCAATCTTTTCATGAAAATACCCACTAGCATCCCCCTACACATCACAGAGAATTCAACCGCTGAGAAGTAAAGGACAAGGGGAAGGAAGAAGTAGTGTACAAAGCATTTTACAGTTTTTCCAGAAGTGGAACAGCTAGTAACCACTCTGTGTTACAGTCACCTCTTGTAAGCTTCTGAAAGTCTCTACAACCTTCTGAAAGTCATATTAGGGTGGGAAAAATACAGCATTCTTTACAAAGTCTATTTTCAGACTTTTTTTAAAAACTTGGATTCTAGTAGAAAATAGGGAGGGGTTGCTAAAGTCCACCCATCTGCCTACCATTACCCAGTCCCCTCCCCAAGAGGGTAGTTCTCAAATTGTGGACCCCACACCAGACTCACTGAGTCAGACTCTCTAGAATTAAGGTCCAGAACCAGCATATTTAACAACATTGTGGTAAGTTGGGAGATCTCTGCCTTTGTGCTTTGAGGAACATGGTTTGCAAATCACTATGCTACAGTTAGTTCAATAGTTAGCATAACACAAAGAAAATCAGATCTCTATGGGGAATATTAAGTGGAAACAGAACGACCAAAATCTCCAGTCACAGTGAACAATTAAAGGGCGGCCACCACAGGTGGTCCTAGGGTCCAGAGCAGGAGTCTCCATGCATTCCAAAGACCAAACCCAGGCCAGGGTGACTTCCTATTGTTTTTGCTTCATTGAGTTATGAGGTGAATGGTAATATAGTATAGGTAAAGGTAGGGGGGTTTTCTTTCAAATTCCCTTTTTCTGAAATAACCTTTTTTAAAATAGTAACTTATTGAAACATTTTATGTCTTACTGAAACATCTTACTATGGAAACATGACATTTAGAGAGAAATCTATTAGTCAACGAATGTCAATTGATGAACAGTGTTCTTTCTGGAGTCGACACGAATAATTTAATTGATGAGCACCATCAGCTAACATCAATCACTGAGGGGACATAGGTAGCATTCCAAACAGAGAACAGAAAGAAGGGGTTTGGAGGAAGTGTGCTACATAAAGTCAAATATATGTAGAATAAACAAATACCTACACTGTCAAAAAATAAAACAAAACAGCGTACCTGACAAGCCCTCATAAGCCAAATCACTGGAAGCAGGCAATGTTAATGTTAACACTGCTTTTACATGAACTGTTTATGTTTTTAATATCTGATTTCAAATTTTTCATATTGCCTCTCCTGTATGTAAGGATTTCACAATTTTGCATATTAAAGCATAGCAATAATTGACTATACTAAAAGTATCCTAAAAACAAGCCAGAATGTCCAAGAAAGGAATAAATAAATTTTAAAATATTTATTTCCAAAGAACATATAGTGGCATAGGAGAAAATTCTTTATACAATGATAATTGTTTTAAAAAGCAGAGATACAGATCTATATTTCAGTATAATAATGAGTTTGACCCCAATTTTGTAAACATATGCATACATATGTTTATTTGAGGTAGGTGGAAAAGAAGATTGGAGTGAAATAAATATACTGGCACATTTATTTCAACTCTGGGTAGTACATTATTTTATTTTTGTTCCAAAATTGTCTACAATAAATGTGTATTCATTTTATAATGAGAAAAAAATGTTGTATTTTTCTGTGACCAAGCTTCCATTCTTTTGAAATGATTCTAGGATCTTTTCTACTTATTCATGTCCTCTTCAGCAATAAAATCACCCCCAACATATTTGAAAATATCCTTCAAGCAAAAAGACACTGAGCCCAAATTTGAACACAAATCACTAAAGCTTTAAAATTCTACTATCCTATAAAGAACATGTGGTTCATACATACAGTGGAATATTACTCAGTCATCAGAAAGGATGAATACCTACCATTTGCATCGACATGGATGGAACTGGAGACTCTGGACTCTGGGAAACAAACTCAGAGTTACAGAAGGGAGGAGGTTTGGGGGGATGTGTAACAGAGTGATGGGTATTACGGAGGGCACATGTTGTGATGAGCACTGGGTGTTAAACGCAACTAATGAATCGTTGAATACTACATCAAAAACTGATGATGTACTATATGTTGGCTAATTGAACATAATAATTTTAAAAAATTCTACTATCCTAGATCTCTCCATATGCCATGTACTGGCACATTTATTTCATACATAAAGAAGCTATAGGATAATAAGGAATTTTACCAGAACCTGGTGTGTCTGCCATGTTGTCATTCATATTGTGTTGTACTTTAGGCTTTAGAAAGGATATGTCAATTACTAACAACTGAGACTTCACCTGTTATAGAGGCATAGCTTGAGGATATAAATCATACATACATCCTGTTCCTAATTAAGGAGGAAGACTGACATATGTCATTGGAGACAACATAATAGACAGCTCTTCTGTGACACCAGCTTTTACATTAGTCAAAATGTTGCTTAGGAAATACTTGTCAGGATAAGACAAGGTTATATATACTGTTACCCATGGGACTGAGGACAGTCACCAAACATATGTGTACAAGACAAAAAAAGTTGCTACATAAAATCTTCACTCTTGAGTTACTCCAGTGGTGTATATAGCAAAGAGAGGGTTTGAGATCCAGGAGGGAAAATGGAAAAGGAATTCAAACTCCAGAGTTGCTCTATAGGTGAGATTAGTGGGTAGGAGTCTCACTGGCACAAAGAAGAGGCACCTTGTAAAGCTATAGTCTAACAGTCATGGGTTCAAGTCCCAGTGATCCCACTTATTACCTTTGTAACTACTGATGATTCACACAGTGTCTCTCATTTTCCTCATTGTGAAAGGAATATTAAAATAATCAAATGGATAAGATGATTACAAAAATTACATGAAGAAATATATGCAAATTATTTGGATCATAAGTGTTTGGGTTCCCTAGTAAATGCCCATTCATCTCTGGTCCATCTGTGAGGAAGAAATTGAGGCATTTCGTTGGTGTCAGGGATTGGGTTCCATGGGATGAGGCAAGTCAGGGGCTGCAACCCGAGGGAGCACAGGGCCCTGACAGCACAAAGAGCAGAAGTCAAGCCTAAATCCTTTAACACTATTTCTTCCCAACTGAGTCACAACCCATTAGTGGAATGCACATCAATTTACTGTGCTGTGATTAGCACTTTTTAAGTGAAATGGAATGGACTCTATTATAGTTCAGCAAATGTGATAAGGGTAAGTTTCATGAGACTCTTGTTTCTGTTTCATATATATGTATATGTTAATGTATGTATGCTGGATTGTGATGTGAAATGTATTTATTACTGTGGATCAAGGTAAAAAATTTTTGAAAACTACTTCTTTAGAAAAAGCCAGGTTTCAAAGTCTCAGCCCAAAGGTTCACATCACAATGACTCAGAGCTTGAAGGAATCAGGATAGGAACTGATATGTGACAGTGTGAAGGCAGAAACAAGATGACTGCTGGAACATGCTTGGGGTATCCACCCTCCCTACACCTATCATTAGTATGTAGTGAGCCAGGCTGGCTTATCACATGCATAGCAGACCCTCGATACTGGAGAGATCTGTTGAGATCTGGTCCCCAATATGCTGGGGGTTAGCAGCTACTTTCATATTCCCCAGGGAAACCACTGATTTCCCTATATTAAGCGTACCCTGGGTTTTGTTCACCTGCTCTGTGGAACTCCTCATCTGGGACTTGTTTTCTTACCTCCCTCTTGCCATACATACCTCTTGGGGCTGAGCCCTGTTCTCATTCTTCCCCACCTCACCCCACTCAGAGTTCTATGGACTCAATGGCACCTTGTTCTATTCCATGGCCAGTCCCCATACTTCTCCTCCCCCTCGCAACCCATATTGGGTCCAAAATGGAATTGATTTCCCACAGCTCAACTCATGATGAAACCTCTCTCCAACATGAAAACCTTTCAATACCATGTATTTAAGTTTGATTAGCTTATCTTCTGTGTCTTTAGCTAATCACCAGAGCAGACCAGAGAGATGGAGTATCACCTGCTTCCTGGGACACTAGTTCCCAAATACTGCCTCAATAACAAGCAGGAGTCTCTGTGTTCATAATACCTTCCAGCTTATATTTGCCTACAAGGATCTCATGCACAATTGTCAGGGTCCTGCTGAGGTCCTGATAGCCAATGTATACCACGGTCCTGTGGGAAATTATCTTGATGCCATTTTAGGCTACCAAAATGCCAAAAGTACTACCAGGAAGTCATGGAATGGTTTGCTAAAAATCCACTTATAACACACAAGGAGAAAGAAGGGGAAAGAGGGGGAAAGAGACCATAAAGTTAATACATTTAGATAGGGTTGCAGACAGACTGGAAGGACCTCACTGCTTGAATTCTGGGTTAGCAGCATTCATTTGTCTTCTCTCAATCTCTCTCTCTCTCACTCAATCTCTCTCTCCATGTCAATCTCTCTCTCTCTCTCTCTCTCTCTCTCTCTCTCTCTCTCTCTCTCACACACACACACACACACACACACACACACACACACACACACACACACCCCTTTCTTACAACGACCAAAACTGAGATTTTAGCAACGGTGCTCATGGATGTAAGGTGCCCTGGGCCCACACATTAGCTTTGTTGGAGAGATGTAGGTATAAGTACCTCTGGCCATCACTATAACTCAACAGTTAGCTGATTAACAGCCCTGGGTTTATTTGTATTTCTTGGGCAGAGGACACGTGGGGCCAGAATGGCTGCTATAAATAGGGTCTTATGAATATTACATGTTCATTTGGTGACCTGAATACTTTGTGCCTTTTTTATATTTAGCATCTCATAGATCCCATATATATTTAGTGTATAATGAATATTTGGTTCCCAGGACCTCATGAATATTAGATATCTTTTGATTCTATTATTCCTTCCCACCTATGTTTGACCCATGCATGTTCTACTTACTGTTTGTCTATATATAACATAACTTAACTGTTTCACTTATTTTTTTACAAATTTATCATCTTCTATAATAGAATTAAATATTTCAAAAGCAAGTGCACATTACAACCACATTGCCCCTAACTGCCAGAATAGTAACCTTATGAAAGAAAGAAATTCATTTAAGTGAACATAACTTATCTTCACTGATATGGGAAATCTAGCATAGCTTCCAGAGCTGACTAGCTGGTTTTAACCACTATGAGCTATGTGGCTCCAGTCAAGTCACTTATTCTCCCCATCCTTCAGTTTCATCAACTGTAAAACTGGAATGATAATGGTATCTACTATATATGGCCATTGTGTAGATTAAATTAAATAATCTAAGGACTCAGAATAGTGCCCAGCACATAGTATATGCTATATAAGTGATAATTTTGTAATAAAATTTTCCACAGACCCCTTCACACAGGAGCCCTAAAACATCTCTTTTTCACCTAAGCTATCAACTTAATGCCATCTCTAGGTCTGGAATCTACCTCTGTTCCCTTTGGGAAAATTACAGTGGTGCTTGTCTTATCTCAGATTATGTGACAAAGCAAAGTAAATGTAAATATGACTAACACAATGAGATCAGTCCAATGAGAGGACAATGCAGAGAGTATTACAATCTCCAGTTCACTCTTCAATCATCTCTCATGTGAATTACACCATTTCCAATCATTTTACCCTCTTTTTTAACTCTCAAGTCTTATTCTCTGTAGAACTGATTTGCCTGTATTATCTGGCTGTGGTTTTTTCTCCTTCTCTGGCCCTATTCAGTTTAAAGTACTCTATATCTGCTAGCCAGCTTGTGAACAAATGCATCCTGCCCCTCCATCCATTTTCTACACTTGGCCAAGAATGCATCATCCTGATGTCTTATACCAGGATTCACACATCCAAGCCCCATTTGTCAACACCATTTGCCATTTCCTTCCAAGATCTTCCTCAATCACCCAAGTCCCATCTGAAGGTAGAAATGATGAAAAATGATAATAGTCACCCTTTCCCCAATAGCTGCTATGTACCAGGAAGTCTGTTCATGGCTTCCCACTCTTGATCTCTAATCCTGGTACCATAGGCATTATTGTTAGCACCCACAAGATTTCCTGTGAAGTATCTCTCATAAACCCAGAGACAGGAAAAATAAAAATGTATTCAGAATTAAAATGTAAAATCAATACAATACAGTAGATCAGAAATATGTTATCACCTTAAATACCCAGAAAGTGAAGAGTCTTGCATTAATTGACCAAAACCAGATAGAATGTATAAAGTTATCTAAAAAAAGAATGTGCCATAATAATTGTAGAAAAAAAGAAGTCAGCCACTAGCTAGTTGACTGAAGAATCATTCCCAACTCCTACTCTCTTGTCACTTTCCACTATATGGATGAAAAAGCCAAGCACTTGCTTTTCCAGCCTTCTTTGCAGCTGGAGGGATGGGAGACAAGGCACATAAGGGGATCCAGCAATGGGGTCATATAACACAATTCTGACGAGTAAGAAATAACTGGAAGTCTGCTAGGTATGTCTAGAAGAGGTTTTGCTTTCATAACAAAAGGGACAATCCTCCCCCTATCTCCTCCTACCTTGGATGAGAAATGTAATGGCTACAATCAGAAAGGACATGGCATTTAGACTCTAACAGATCTGAGTTCAAATCTCAGTTTTCCCACTTACTGGAGGTGCAGTATTGGGCAAATTCTTTAACATGCTTCAACTGTAAATGGGTTTAATAATACCTGTAGATGTTCCAGTGAGAAGAGAATGATGCACCAGAATGGTCAGATGCTTGAATCCTCAGCTGTTACGTTCTCTCCAACCAGCAGCTTCATGGAATTGCCAGATTTTAATCAGAATGCACTCGCTACCATTGCTACTCTCTGGGTGCATCCACACCCCTTGCTCTGCCCATATCTCTGAAAAAAGTCCATGTATTAAACTCTCTCAAATTGACCATTTCAGGGTGCTATATACTTTCTGCTAGAGCCCCAACTGATGCAACCATTGATGAAATATGCATGTCTGAGATGACTTCACTCAGACTGAGAGTAACAAGTCCAACCAGGCCTCAGAGGCGTCTTTCAATCCAAAGACTCCTAAACCAAGCCTTCCTTCCTTTCATGTCTGTTATTCACTCCCAAGTTACCAGGAAAGGACTCTGGTCTCCCACCTGTCTCAGGAACTCACACACACACACACACCATCCCACCCCAACCAAAGAAAAGGAAATAGCATCCAAGCAGGGTGAATAGCTGGATTAAACTTTAAGAAGAATAAAGAGGGGTGCCTGGGTGGCTCAGTCGTTAAGTGTCTGCCTTCAGCTCAGGTCATGATCCCAGGGTCCTGGGATGGAGCCCTGCATCAGGCTCCCTGCTCGGCAGGAAGCCTGTTTCTGCCTCTGCCCACTCGCCCTGCTTGTGTTCCCCCTCTGGCTGTCTTTCTCTCTGTCAAATAAATAAAATCTTTAAAAAAGAAGAAGAAGAAGAAAGAAAAAGCAAGAAGGACTAAAATACTTTAAACTCCATCTAGTTTCATGTTATATCCCTAAAGCCTACTATAGTGCAGTCAGTGAGCTCAATAAATGAATGATAAAAAAGACTGACCATGTCCACGTTCCCACTCCAGCCCAAGAAAGAAGGAAAAGCAGAGATGAAGGGGAAAAGTTTCCCTCACAACTAGGCTGGAGAGAGGAGGAGAAGGCCAACAATTATTCAGTAATCTCAACAGTCTGGGATTACTTGTATGTTTCATGTTATGTGCTTACCCTCCATTAATTTTGATCAGGTTATCAAAATCCTGAATTTCCTTATTTCCATCTGGTATCATATCTCTTATTTTAGTCTAGATTCCTCCAGAATTCAGACACACTTAAGTGTTGAGAAGCAACTTTCCTCAAGCTTTGTGGCCAACTTCCATTCATTGTTTAGCATGAAAATTAATACAACAGAATCCCAGTTCCTGCCAGAATTGAGTCATTTCCATAATCTTAGTGGCCTTGGGCTTTTCCTTTGGGCTTCCCCGCTAAGCGGCCTGTTGGGCTGCCTGGCTCTAGGTTTCCTGGTCTTTTAGCACCTCAGTGCCATTTATACTATTCTATCCCTACTCCTGCTCTCTTAAGATCTGCCTTTACTGCTGCTAGGAAAGCCACTTACTATTGCCAGCAACTTACAGTAATCAGCAGCAATTAGCAGCAGCTGCCTGACTTAACATATAAGAAGCAACTCAGCAAACTCAGAGAGAGAAACCTCTGAGAATCTGGACAATGGCTAACCTCTTCCCATCCTCCACCTGCAGAGGAAGCCTTATGCCTATCTCCCCAGAACTCTAAAGAGACTGCTAATCTACACTAGATCTTGTAAACTCACAAGGAGCAATTCCTTCTTTGGGTCGGCAACATGTCTTTCTGGAATTCCCTCCATGAAACGCAGTTTGGCATGCTCGGGTGTGGCGAGATGGCAAGTGACTAGCTTCATGTTATCCTCAGTGATGAAGGTTCAGAAGTCATTCACCTTAAGCTTCTGCCATCAGCAAAATGGCACCAAAGGACTTCACAGGGGTGATGTTCAGAGGTGGCTCACGGAAAATGAATCTTAACTCCCTCATTATTCCATTCAAGACATAAATTGGCTGTGCCCACCATCCAATACCCAGAAGTCAAAGTCTGCTGAAAAACAAGACATGGGCATCAGTGTGGAACTGCTGGTCATCTTCTGGAGAAAACCAACAAGCAATCGATCAACATATCATTAAAAACAAACAATTATTAAGCCTCTCCTATGTTCCAGGCACACTGTAGGCACTGGTATTCAGAAATAAGGAGTTCACAGGCTGGAAAGAGAGTGAAAGATCTAAGAAGACAGTTATTATACAATATGATAAACACTGTGATAGCAGGAAGTACTGTGTGCTAGGAAAGCTTATAAGAGGACATGAGGAAAGACTTCCTGAGAAGATGATGCTCAAACCAAGCCTTAAAGAACAAACAGGAGTTAGCAGGACAGAGACAGCCGAGGGCACATCAAGGTGCAGTTGGTTTGAGACAATGAGAGAACCTGAGACAGTTGTGGTGCTGCACTTTTAGTTCAGCTGGTAGGTGAGGGGACAAGAAAGGCATGAAGTGGCAAGAGATGAGACTGAAGAAGGAGAGTCAAAGGAGGAAAAAGTCTAGAGGTTCTTGGTGAATTCCAAGGTTCTTCCAACCACTATCTCTATTTTCTTAAAAAGGAGCCATGAAATAATGGAATTTTAGGAATAGAAGAGAATTTGGATATCAACTATGGCCAAATGTTTTATAGGTAAACTCAGGCCCACGGAGGTCAAATCAAGATAAGAGGCAGCACACTGAAATGATGGGATGATAGTAGTTCACATATGTAAAACATCTTACAGCCCATCAAGCCCTTTCACTTACCACATATCAATAATGGAAGGAAATGTGAACAAGTCAAAAGACCTGAGTTGTTAGCATGCCTCAATCACTGCCTGGGATGAGTGATCCTCCGTAAGTCCTTTCATGGCTCTGGATCTCATTTTCACATCTACAGGATGAAGAGGCTGGATCACTAAGGCTTTTTCCAGTTCTAACACTCCACATTCGTAGAAGCTGGTATTACTGAGTCTTTACTGCCATGTTAGAAAAAAATAACTTCTCCTCCAAAGGCCTGGAGTTATAATTTTCTGAAGGTTTTCAAGGTGGATCTAACCCATATTTCTAATCATAATCCTTTTCCTGCTTAAACAAAATGGTCACAAATAATCTAACATCACCCTTATTAAAACTGTCCCCAACTAAACAAAAAAACAAGGTGCCTCCATAAACTCTGGAAATCTCTCTGATCTCGATAGTCAGTATTGCACTCCAAACTGAAATTGTTTCATGATATGCAGATGCCCAAAAATTATAGCTTTCTTTCTTTTTTAAATTTAGGCACTAAAAACCTACAGGGACATTCCATAATAAAGAAATGAATATATTGCACCTTCTGCCTTTCTCTTCATTTATTATTAAAGATATTTTCAGGAGAGCAGGCTCACATTGCTTAGGAATCCATCCGGGCCTGCTGATAATTCTCATTATGAGGTGAGGAGCACAATCCGAGAGGTCCTTCATCTTATGGAGAGTGGAACAATGTGGCTGTCAACACAAAGATTGAAGATGCAGGCAGGCACTACTCAGCAGGAGCAAAAGGATGCCTCGGTAGCAGTGATCATGTTTCATGCAAACAACCTAAAATCAAGAGAAAAGAAAAAACTGAAAATGTAATTTGCTAAGTTTTTCAACAATGGCATTTATTTTTTAAATAAGGGTTCTGTGCTTCAAAGCATCGTGCTCTAGTGTGGGATCTGAACATGGAAAAGCTCAGCCTGTCTTTGAGGAGTTTACGAGTAACAGGAGAGATGAAAAATGAGAGTAGAAGGCAGCAAGGAATGGGTATCACAAAATCACAAGGTGAGTTCAGAAAGGAGAGAAATCTCATGCTGGGCGAGTGAGGCTGCAACCAATTGGGGCAGGGCAGAGCTGTGGCAGAAGGTGAGTGAAGCATCTGCTCTCCAGGGTGTCTGGACCACCTCCCTCACTGGACATTCTTCCTTCACTTAACCATTTCCCTCCTTGCATCATCTGGATATCCTTTCTTCCTCTCCTTCTTTCACTTGTTTATTGTGTATCACCTCCAATAAATGCAAGCTCCATGAAAGCAGAACTTTGCCTTGTTCTCTTCAATGCCTAAAACAATGACTAGCATAGAACAGGTACTGAATAAATGGTAGGAAGCAAGGCAGGCATGCAGGAAATAGGGGGGAAAAGGGAAGGAGGGAGGGAAAATACAATCCACAGAAATGAATTCATGTCCCTACTCATCTTTCCCTTACATCCTATTTACATTTTAAAGTCTGATGTGGATTCCTTCCACTGAGAGAGCTGCCCCTGCTCTGTTTAGCCCACCTAATTCTTAACTTGACCCTAAATTCTCTTACAGTCCTGTGCCTGGCCATTCCCCACCAGGCATCCCACCAAACTACACAATCCTTTGTACATGCCATGTCTTTGTTCCTGCTGTTCCTGTGCCTAAAATAGCATCCTTCTTGTACCTTTCTCTGCCTGATAAACTCCCACTCATTCTTCAAAATACAATGTAGCAATTTAGCAATATCTTACAAAATGTTAAATATGCACTCCTTTTGATCCATCTACCCATTGCTATAAATGTATCCTTGGGGTTTTCTCACACAAGGCAAATGTTAGCTCTTCTAGGAAGCTCTTTCTGTACTCTGAGGCCAGGCCACTGGAAGAGCACACAGAGCACACAGAGCACCCCTTTCATATATCATTTATCCCACAATGTGTAACTATTTGTTTACAAGGTGTCCTCCTTATAGTAAACCTAACCAGCTCATGAAACTTACATTCTTATGGGTAGACAGACAAAAATGTAAGTAAAAAAGCAAATAAATACATAAATATATACTTTCAAATAAAAGCCGGGGAAAAAAGGATAATGCAATCTCCAAGTAAGGAATGAGAATCCCCCTTTTTAACTTATTATGTACCTACTGTGTATCATGGTTGACACATTTTTAAATCTAAATTCTCCTCTGTTTGTACTATGCACTTTGATATTCTATGGTATGTTGCAGGCATCTAGGTCCTGTCTGCCCAAGTATGCTGTAAGATTATAGTGGGCAGAATCCATATCCTATACATATTTGCCTGCCCCCATGTCATCTAGCACATGGTGCACAGCAGGATTTCAGTTACTACCTGGTTGGTCATAGAAATAACTAAAAGCACAGGTGCTACTGACAAGTTTGAAACATCATCTATGAATAAAGAGACCAAACCCATGGAGAAAGAGGAGTCCAAATATGGCCTCTGAATAGCTCATATTAAAAACAAATAAACAGCAAGATGGCGGAGGAGTAGGAGACCTAAATTTCGTCTGGTCCCAGGAATTCAGCTAGATACTTATCAAACCATTCTGAACACTTATGAACTCAAGAGGAGATTGAAGAAAAGAATAGCAGCAACTCTCTGAACAGAAAAGTGACCACTTTCTGGAAAGGACCCAACAAGCGGCAGATCCAGGGAGACTCCCCTTCCTCCCACAGAAGGAACAGCGCGGGAGCTCACCGCAAGGATCTGCTGGGTTGGAGATTCCACACGGGGTTGTGTGCCAGAGATAGAAACGCTCGATCACGGGCTGGGTGAGCACAGAGTGAGGCCAGAGACCCGGGAGATGGGAATGATTGACTGCTTTTCTCTGGGGGCTCAATGAGGAGGGGTGCCCCGAGTTCTCAGCTCCTCCGGGGCAGAGATTGGGAGGCCGCCATTTTCACTCTCGTCCTCCAAAGCTGTACAGAAAGCTTGCAGGGAACAAAAGCTCCTGAGAGCAAACCTGAGATTACTTAGCCCAGCCCTGACAAGGGCGGGGCAATTCCGCCTCCGGCAAAAGACATTTGAGAACCACTGCGACGGGCCCCTCCCCCGAAGATCAACAAGAACAGCCAGCCAAGACCAAGTTTACCGATCAATGAGAATGGCAGAAATCCAGCGCTAGGGGAATACTGCACATAGAATTCATGGCTTTTTTCCCATGATTCTTTAATCTTTCAAAGTTAATTTTTTTAATTTTTTTTTGAATTTTTCTTTTTCCCTTTTTCAACAAATATCTTATCAATATCTTTTTTAAATCTTTTTTATTTTTCATTTTTAGAGTCATATTCTATCCCTTCATAGTAGTTAACCTTATTTTTTGGTATATATATATATATATATATATATGTATATATATATATATATGTTGTTCTCTCTTTAAAAATTTTGGGATACAGTTTCTTCTAACAGACCAAAATATACCCTAAATCTCTAGTGTATGGCTTTGTTCTAGTCTCCTGCCTGATCACATTCTCTCCCTTTTTTTTTTAGTTCCTCTTCTTTCTTTTTCAACCAACTTCTTATCTTATCAATTCCTTTTATAAAATCTTTTATAACTTTCATCTTTACAGTCATATCCCATCCCTTCATCATTTTTACCCTTATTTTTGTACATATATAAGTTTTTCTTTCTTTAAAATTTTGGGAGGGACTTTCTTCTACAGACCAAAATATGCCCAAAATCTAGTGTGTGGCACTGATCTATGGACCAGCCTGATCATATTCGATCATACTCTTTTTTTTTTTCTTTTTTCTTTCTTTCCCTTTCTTTTCCCCTGGTTTCAGGTCTCTTCTGATTTGTTTAGTGTGTATTTCTCTGGGGTCATTGTTACACTTTTAGCATTTTGTTCTCTCATTCATTTATTCTTCTCTGGACAAAATGACAAGATGGAAAAAATCACCTCAAAAAAAAGAACAAGGGGGGCACCTGCGTGGCTCAGGCATTAAGTGTCTGCCTTCAGCTCAGGTCATGATCCCAGGGTCCTGATATTGAGCCCCGCATCAGGCACCCTGCTCCACGGGAAGCCTGCTTCTCCCTCTCCCACTGCCCCTGCTTCTGTTCTCTCTCTCACTGTCTCCCTCTGTCAAATAAATAAATAAAATCTTAAAAAAAAAAAAAAGAACAAGAGGCAGTACCGACTGCCATGGACCTAATCAATAGGGACATTAGTAAGATGTCGGAACCAGAGTTCAGAATGACGATTTTAAAGATACTAGCTGGGCTTGAAAAAAGCATGGAAGATATTAGAGAAACCCTCTCTGGAGAAATAAAAGAACTAAAACCAAACCAAGTCGAAATCAAAACGACTATTAATGAGGGGCAATCAAAAATGGAGGCTCTCACTGCGAGGATAAATGAGGCAGAAGAGAGAATTAGTGATATAGAAGACCAAATGATGGAAAATAAAGAAGCTGAGAAAAAGAGAGATAAACAACTACTGGATCATGAGGGCAGAATTCGAGAGATAAGTGATAGCATAAAGCGAAACAATACTAGAATAATAGGGATCCCAGAAGAAGAAGAAAGAGAGAGAGGGGCAGAAGGTATATTGGAGCAAATTATAGCAGAGAACTTACCTAATTTGGAGAAGGAAACAGGCATCAAAATCAGGGAGGCACAGAGAACCCCTCTCAATATCAATAAAAATAGGTCAACACACCGACATCTAATAGTAAAACTTACGAGTCTCAGAGACAAAGAGAAAATCCTGAAAGCAGCTCGGGACAAGAGATCTGTAAGCTACAATGGTAGAAACATTAGATTGGCAACAGACCTATCCGCAGACACTGGCAGGCCAGAAAGGACTGGCATGATATATTCAGAGCACTAAATGAGAAAAATATGCAGCCAAGAATACTATAACCAGCTAGGCTGTCATTGAAAATAGGAGAGATAAAAAGCTTCCAGGACAAACAAAAACTAAAGGAATTTGCAAACACGAAACCAGCCCTACAAGAAATATTGAAAGGGGTCCTTTAAGCAAAGAGAGAGCCTAAAGGTAACATAGACCAGAAAGGAACAGAGACAATACACAGTAACAGTCACCTTACAGGCAATACAATGGCACTAAATTCATATCTTTCAATAGTTACCCTGAATGTAAATGGGCTAAATGCCCCAATCAAAAGACACAGGCTATCAGATTGGATAAAAAAACAAGACCCACCGATATGCTGTCTGCAAGAGACTCATTTTAGACACAAAGACACCTCCAGATTGAAAGTGAGGGGGTAGAAAACCATTTACCATGCTAATGGACACCAAAAGAAACCTGGGGTGGCATCCTTATATCAGACAAATTAGATTTTAAACCAAAGACTATAATAAGAGATGAGGAAGGACACTATATCCTACTTAAAGAGTCTACCCAACAAGATCTAACAATTGTAAATCTCTATGCCCCTGACATGGGAGCAGCCAATTATATAAGCCACTTAATAACAAAAGCAAAGAAACACATCGACAACAATACAATAATAGTGGGGGACTTTAACACCCCCTCACTGAAATGGACAGATCATCTAAGCAAAAGATCAACAAGGAAGTAAAGACTTTAAATGACACACTGGAATAGATGGACTTCACAGATATATTCACAACATTCCATCCCAAAGCAACAGAATACACATTGTTCTGTAGTGCCCATGGAACATTCTCCAGAATAGATCACATCCTAGGTCACAAATCAGGTATCAACTGGTACCAAAAGATCTGGATCATTCCCTGAATATTTTCAGACCACAATGCTTTGAAACTAGAACTCAATCACAAGAGGAAAGTCGGAAAGAATTCA